GGAGGAGGAGGAGGAGGAGGAGGAATATCAATGGCCCTGCTCGCCCCCGCCGCCCAAAGGCTCGGCCTCCCGGCCCTGCCGTGGCGCCCAGCCTGCGTCGGGCGCCGGGCCCGCGGAGGGCCCCCGCGTCAGGAGCGCTCCACCACTTCTCCCTGCAGCATCGGGCCTCGTCCTGGGAGACGTGGCAAAGCTGGCTGCCGTGGCCTCGTCACGACGCACGTCTGTGAGGGCCTGGGCTGCCCCGAGGACGGTCTTTGACTTGCGTTTCGACGTGCTCAGGCTCCGCCTCCTCCTCCTCCTACTCTTTCCTCCTCCGCCTTGTTCTCCTCCTCCTCCTCTATTTCTCCTCCTCCTCCTCCTCCTCCTCCTCCTCTATTTCTCATCTTCCTCCTCATCATCATCCTCCTTCTGCTCCTGCTGCTGCTTCCCCCCACTACTCTTCCCCCTCCCTCCTCCTCCTCCTCCTCCTCCTCCTCCTCCTCCTCCTCCTCCTGACTTCGACGCCCTGGCCAGCCGCGGCTCAGCACGTCCGCGGCGCACAGCCGATGCCGCACCGCCTCCGTAAGCAGCCGATCGGGAACGTCCCCGCCAGCGCGTAGGGCCTCGGCGAGGCCAGTGACAATGAGGAAGGATGCAGGATAAGGAGGAGGAGGAGGAGCAGGAGGAGGAGGAGGAGCAGGAGGAGGAGGAGGAGGAGAAGTAGGAGGAGATGGAGAAGATGGAGGAGGAGGAGGAGGTGGAGGAGGAGGACGGTCCAACTCCAGCAGCCCCAACGGAACCCGAAGGAACGGGAGGGGGCCGAATTGGCCAGGCGCCCCAGGGCCTCCCAAGGCCTCGGAGAGGCTCGGCCCTTCGGCCGAATCCAGCACAGTGGTGCAGCCCAGACCACACCGAAGGCCCTATCCTACGGCAGGGGGGCTGTGGGCGTCAGCCTGGAGCGGAGGAGGAGGAGGCGGAGGAGGAGAAGAAGGAGGAGGAAGAGGAGGAGTAGGAGGAGGTGGGAGAAGGGAGATGGAGCATGAAGGGAGGAGGGTCGCGGAGAAGGGTAAGGAGACGGCGAGGGAACGGAGACGGCGAGGGGACGGAAAGGGGGCTGGACGCCCAGTGTTCTACTCGTCGAGTGGTGGTGAGCCAATACTACTCTCATCTACTCGCCGCTGGGCAACGCAGGAGGGCGTAACAAGTACCAGTAACTACTTACCCTGTTCGTCACGTGGCAAAGCAAAGGGGGCAGAAGCAATACCGCGCGTTGCCGTCAGCTTGTGCGCATGCGGCCCCCCGGCCTCTCGCAAGAGGGGTGGGCGGGGGTGGGGGGCTACAGCAGGGCTCGACCAAAACAGTGTTTGTTGTTTTCGCTTTGTGTTCGCTCTCCCTCGTGGTAGCTTCGCTCCGCCTTCGCTGTAAAACAAAACCGAACCGAAAACGGTCCACGAAATCGCCAAAACACCGTTGAGGTCGAGCCCTGATTTGCAGCAACCGCTCCTTCGGGACACACGACCCAAACATGTTGATTTCGCGCCGCAAGCTGTCTTTTGTGGGCCCCCTGCAGCTCGGTCCTCCCGCTATCACGGGAGCTGCCGCCTGCATCGAACGAGTTGGCGAGGGGGGGGCAGGGAGGACGGGCGATGATGGCGAGGAGGAAAGAGAAGGGCGAGATGAAAAAGGGCGTCTCCCACACTTCTGTTTCTTCCTCCTCCTCCCCCCCCCCTCGCCGGCTTCCCCATGGAACCAAACCCAAATAAGGACTTCGTGTCTCATGCTGGATTTCCGGGTTCGCCAGTCGGATTTTCCCGCGATGCCCTGGGGGGATTTCTCGCCGTCGCTCGGACGTCCATTTCCCGTGCATCTTTCGGTTTCGTGCGTGTTTTTGTTTGCTCGTTGGTCGAGGATGGTCCTCGATGGTTCTCGCCGAGAAAAAATGCACACGTCCAAGCGATGCCAGGATGTCGGGGTTGGCCAGTGGGCCACGCCGTGTTCCAATTTCCACCGGTTCTGTGGGTTCGCCCGTCCGGTCGGTGGGCTGGTTCGCCGTCATCCGACCTTCCTCTGTCCGCCGACGGGTGTCCCAGCGGAACCAGATGCCCCCAAAAGACACCAGCGCGTCATTCACCATCAGAGGAGGGAGCTGGGTACACTGGAAGAGGGAGGTGGCGGCTGAGCACGAGGCTAAGCATGAGGAAGAGGAAGGAGTGGAAGCAGCAGGAGCAGAGGCAGGAGGAGCAGAGAAAGGCGGAGGAGGGGAGCGGAGGGGGGCGACAACGACGATGAAGGACTCGGATCCAGATATGGGGGCCCCTGCTGGTGCTAGGGCGGGGGCGCTATTCTAAACGACGAGAGCAATACGCCGATCCTGAAATGAGGCCGACGCTACCGCGGGAGCACAATTTGGCAACGCGAAAAAAAACGCTCCGATTGGAAACACATGCATCTAGGGCGTGCAGATATTAAGATCCGGTATGAAAGCCGCATGGGGGAGATGGGGGGGCACGAACGATCACATTCAGAGGAGGGAGGCGAGAACGGCGAGGAACCACTCGGAACTATATATATATATACATACATATTCGAATATTCTTATAGCGGAACCCCCCCTGATCCCCCCCCCCGTACATAAAGTCGGCCCTGGGCGCTCCCGCCGACGTCAAAATCGAATTTCGGTTTCGGGAGCCTCTCCCGGCCATCCCTGGACGGTCCCGCAAAGCTCCAGAACGGCTCATGAGCGCTCACAGAGGTCTCAAGGTAGCTTCAAGACGGCCCAAGATGCTTTCAAGACGCCCCAAGAGGCCCCCAAGAAGACCCCCAAGAGGTTCAAATCGCCGTATGAGCCCTATGAGATCTGTGAGCCCTACGGGCCCCATGAGCCCTATGACCCCCACGAACCCTATTACTCCCATGAGCCCTAGGAGCCCAATGAGCCTTAAGAGCCCTACGAGCCCATGAACTCTCCGAGCTCCATGAGCCCCATGAGCCTGATGAGCCCTTTGAGGCCTATGAGCACTCCCATGAGCCTGATGAGCCCTTTGAGGCCTATGAGCACTAGAAGCCCCATGAGCTTTCTGAGCTCACGAGCCCCAGGAGCCCCATGAACTCAATGATCCGAGCCCCATACCCCCCCGACCTTCCATGACACCATATGAGCGCGATGACCCCTATGCGCCCTGTGAGCCCTAGAACCCACTCAGCACTAGGAGCCGTGAAGCCTTGCGAGACCTATGAGACCCCCCTCTGAGCCCTACGAGCCCAGTGAGCCGTATACGGCCTATGGGCCCTATGAGCCCAATGGCCCCGACTTGCCCCTTCACCCCAATCGGCCCCATGAGCCCTTCGAGGCCTACGCGCTGTGTTAGCGCTATGGGCCCTATGGCCCCCAGGAGCATTGCGAGCTCTATGAGCCCATTGGCCCCCAAGAACTGATGACTCCAAGGAGCCCCAGGACCCGTATAGCACCAGCCTCCTATGACCCCCATGACCTCTGCAAAAGCCACTCAGCATTATGAGCCCCGTGCCCGATGTGCACAAACAGTCCCAGCCGCATCGGCAGCATTACCCCTCGCCTAAGATGGGAGCTCCGAGCCCCCGGGCCCCATGACGGCAGAGACCCTTTCTGAGCTCTTTAAGCCGCAATATTCCCTGGGTCCTATCAGCCCTGTTTGCTCCATGGTCTCCATGGCCAGAACACACCGCGGCTGTGACGACAACCGACCTCATCGCACCTCCCTGGCGCCATGCGACCAAGATTTTAAAGGCGAAGCGCAGCGACCCGGAAACATCTTGTGCGTATATATGTATATATAGAATTATATATATATATATATATATATGTATGTGTGGGTGCGTGTGCGTGTGCGTGTGCGTGTGCGTGTGTATGTGTGTGTCGCACGTACTCAAAGGGGGTCCTCAGAGGTCACCAGCGAGCCCTAACGAGCCCTACGGAGCCTCTCGAGTTCTTGTGAGCTCGACGAGTGCGCATGCAGCACGCCGCAATTCGTACAAGTGGCCTTCCCAAGCTTCCTCAGAGGGGTTGGGCGGCGGGCACAAAACTCTGGCAGAGTTATAAATATGATATGCAGTGACCACAGCCTCAATAGTGGATGGGCTGGGTGATCCACCTAGGCCAAGACGACAGACTGCACAACTCGGAATCTCGGCCTGAGGTGGGTAGGCAATCGACCATAGAACATTACAGTCCAAATAGTGCGAACAGGTGTCAGGTGCAGCTACCAGAGGCGGTTCCCTGCACCGAAAGCGACACTCGCCGATGCCCGTCTGCACGTGAAGGCGGCCCGAGGTGAGCCAAGCGCCTGAGACTGTCTTAAGAATCGCACTCTGCCACGACGGAGCCAGGCGCGAAATCGCATCTCTCAGGCCGGCCCACCGCGCTTTACATGACACCACGTGGGAACGGCAGGCCCTGGGACACCCGACGCGGCCTTCAACCTCGAGCCCCCATGCCTTCAAGCGTCGCTGAATCAGGAGGTGGAGGTGGTCAGGATGGAGCGAGGCGTGCAAAGAAGAGTACAATGCTTTCTGCGTGTGCACCCGCACGCCCCGCTCAGCTGCGTCGCGGCATGCACTGACGAGTGCCATCCTCGCAGCGGCAGCAGGACGCGCGAGCGCCCGATCATTCACAAAATCCTCCTGCGCCGACGCCAGGAACTGTACGATGGGCGTGGTCTGCCAAAACGGCGGCGACAAAGTGCCGCTGCCAATTATCCAAAGACTCCCGTGGTCCTGGACCTGTGCCTGCAGCCATGCGTGCAGCTCCTTCCAGTTGCTCACCGTGGAGAGGGCCGATCGCATGGCCGCCGCACAGCCCGTGGCCAGCAGTGAGCGGATGCGAAGGCCAGGCGCCCACGCACCTAAGGCCAGGAAGTCATGCCTGCCCAGCGCCTGTGGGGGCATGTGCCACAGCTTGGCGGCCGCCCACCCTTCTTTGGCCAGCAACACCTTCGGGGTGGCCGCCAGCTGTTGAAGATATCCTAAAACAGGCAGAGCACGACGATTGTAAAGCCGAGCAGCTAGCGACGGGGCCGCACCACTCATCGCAATGTCCACGACGCGGGAGAGCCACTTTGCGGCCGCCTTCCTCCAGATGTCCCGCTGTGTCGCACCAGGGCCGACAACGAAGCCCAGGTACTCCGCCTGGTCGCGCACCTGCATGCCGCTCCACTCGCACAGAGCTTCGGCCAGCCATCCTCTGAGATCTGCGACGAGCTCGTCGGAGAACTTAGCCTCCAGCGGGATCAGCACGCATTTGTGGAGTTTCAGGTGCAAGCTCGCGAGCGCCCGCGCAGCAGCGAAGGCCCGCCACATCCCACGGAGCAAGTGGCGCGATCGCAGCACCACCCCGACGTCGTCAGCACAAACCCCGATGGCGGAGAGGCGACTGGCGTCTCGGTCCGTGTACTGCATCATGTGATGAATGAACGGGTTCATTGCAATGGCCCAAAGACTCCCAGAAGACGGACATCCCTGTGCGAGCCCGCACGAGACGCAAACGAACCGCACCATCGCGCCCGCGAGCTCCACGTACGCCGTGGGAAGCCAGTAGAGCGCCTCCAGCACAAACCGAACGCCTCCGACGAACCCCGAGCGGACCAGCATGAGCAGCATCCATTCGGTCATCAGAGACGGGAACGCGTCGCCAAAGTCGAACAGGGCCATGATGGGCTTGCCCGACTCCTGCAGCCCCGCAGCCCGCGCAGTGGCGTCCAGCAGGCAGATGTTGTCCAGGAAGTTGCGGCCCTGCAGGAAGCCCCGCTGGGGGGCAGGCGATGCCTTCTCAATGGGGCCCTTGATCCGCGCATTCACCGCGGACGCCACCAGCTTGCAGTCCGCATTCTTGAGCGCAATCGCCCGCGTGGTGCACGGCGTGCGAAAAGCGCCTTCCACTAGATCTTCCTCATACGAACCCTTCGGGAGGAAGGCGAGCAGGTGGTCGTTCCAGTCGATGGGCGGCGGCCTGCCAGACGCAATCTCCAGGACCACGTCCTCCAGCGCAGCAAGCGCTGCGGGGCAAGCACGCCAGGCAGCATACGGCAGACCGTCAGGCCCAGGCGCCGACTCCTTGGCACGAGCAGCAGCTCGCAACAACGCCCGCCGATCAGGGGGGAGCAGGTCGGCCACCTCCAGCAGTGGCGCGTGCTCTTTGATGTACCTGTCCGCGAGGACCTGCCAGTTGGGAACCTTCGGCTTGACCTGGAAGATCGGAGCCCAGTGGTCGCGGAGGGCCTCGACCATGTCGACCTGGTCCGTCAGCGCCTTGTGTCCCTCGTCGTCAGGCACCTTGATGCCCTGCAACTTGAGCGTGCGATTGAAGGGCGACCACAAGGCCTCCCGCCTGCGCAGCTTGCGCCGGGCAGCATTCATCATCTTAAACGATCTGGGGTCGAACGCCTTCGCCTCCTGCTCCGAGAGGGCAGCCGCTCGAGCCTCGAAGTGCAAGCGCTGGGCCTCAGCGAAGTCCCTAGCGAACGACGGCGGGTGGATCAGTGAGACCTGGACGCTCGAGACCGAGATGTACGTCGGCGCGATCTCACACGTCAAGAGAAGCCTCTGTCCCAACTCGACATCATCCCGCCAGACCGCTCGAGACATCGAGCGAAAGACCATCAGCTTCGTCTCGCCTTTCGGGTTGCGGCATCGCAGATCCCTCACGTACTTCGCAGCCTCCCTCATCAGCTCCTTGTGCCGCCGCCTCGTCGCATACACCCCGAGCTTGGACCAATCGACGAGCACGCGCAGCCTCTCGTACTGCGCAGCGAACTCAGGATCCTTGAAGAAGTGGGAGGGGATCCTCTGCTCCTCGGCGGGCGCCACCTGACGGGCCGATACCGAGATCACGACTGGAACATGGTCACTTATGCCTCTCTCGTGCAAGTCTTCTGGCTTATCCTCCGTGAGCGCAACGAAGTGCTGCTGCAGGGCAGCCCAGCTCGGCATAGATACGAACACTCGATCGATCTGGGTGAGCTTGGGCTGCCACTCATTTGTGACGTAATGCGTGGGCAGCTCATTGTCCAGCTCCATCATGCGGCTAAACACACCCTGCCAGAAGGCGTCATGAGCACGCACCGCAACATCCCCTTGACTACGCCTCTTGTCTATCTCAGGAGCACGCGGGTACATGGGTGCTTGCTTATACAGATTGAAGTCTCCAAGCAATAGAACGGTGACCTTCTCGGGTGCCATGTCTGCCATTGTGAGATCGGAGAAGAGCTTTCTTCGAAATATCACGCGGTCCTCATCGCTTAAACCAAAGTTGTGCACATTGTAAATCACTGTGCTGCAAGAAGAATTGCCATCAGCGGCGATCGCAGAAATCCTCAGCCTCAGAATACGGCCAGGTACAATCACCTCAGGACGAAAGCGCGCCCGCTGCAGAACCAAGGGATCGCACGGCACGACGATGCAGACGCCACCAGCATCCACGCGTGGTATGGACTCGAATACCTGGCAAGAGACGTGCAACCGATGCAGAGCCTGATGGAGCTCAGCACGCGTGGCATGGACTTCCTGGACCGCCATCACCACCCCACGCCTCAACATGTGTGCCAAATAGCGTAGCTTGAGCTCGCGGATGCCACCCGCGGCACGGTCATGATGAAGTAGAGCGCGAGCATTCCAAGTGCCGAACAGCGCTGGGGGAATCCTCGATCCTGACGCGCCCGAGGTCGCGGGCACAGGGCGCCAGCATGCCAGTCGCTTGCTAAATAGCCCACTGGATGCGCTCAGACGCGCCGAAGCGCTCCGCGAACGCCTCCGCAACGCTCTGCTTGTCAATACCCGTCTCGAGGACCATGCGGTAGTTCCACTGGAGCGCAGTAGCCTCTGACGGCGACTCAGGAACGAGGACCTTGATGACTGGCGAGGAGCCCCTGTAGATGACACCCTGAGCGCGATGCGCTCTCCATCTGCCCACACACGACTCCTTGACGATCTCCAGCAGCTTCTTTGTCTCGATCTCGCGCCGTACCATCTGCGGGCTTTTGTCAAGGCCCACGAAGACAGCCGAGCGGGCCCCCGCGGGGGTGGCAGCGTCAAACCTGCGCCACTCGCCACTGGCCAGCTTGAGATGCTTGAACGCATGGTGCACGTGCCTCGCAGCGAGACCTTCCGCACCCAGGAACTGAATGATGAAACGGCGGCCTGGACTCTCGCCCTCAATCTTCCATTGCTCGTCCGTGAAGCCGCTCTCAGCCAGCCAGGAGGCCACTGACTCGCGTATAGCAGCCGTCGCCACCGGCTCCTTGGTGGTGGCCACGAAGATGGTGTGATTCGGCTCGCGAGTGAAGGCGACGTTGCTGGTGACATCCAGCTCGGGCGACGCCGCCTTCTCGCACTGGTGGACAATCTCCTGCATCTGTGCGAGCTGAGATCGCATATCTCGGTGAGCCTTCTCCAGTGCGTCCTGCCTGGCATCAAGATCACGGAGGTGAAGGCTGGTCTCTTCGTTGATGGTCTCCTGCCTCGCCGCGAACGCGCGGATGGCAGTTGCCGTGCTCTCCGTGATGCCGCGCTGCATGCGATCCACGGACTCCTTGACCGAGGCAGAGACCGAACTGATGATATTTGACTGAAGGGCGGCCAGAATGTCATCCAAGTCGCCGTGGAGGACGGGGGCGTTCCTGTCCCTGGGGAGGCGCGGGGAGTCGATGGCGATGACAGGCGGTGTCCCAGCGGCAGCGGCCTGGCCACGCCCAGCACTGCCTCCACGCCCGTCGCCCCCACCCTCAGCAGACCAGGGGTCAGCGCGCTGCAGCGGGTCGTCCGTCTCCATGCTGCCAGCAGGACCAGCGCGGGCAGAAGCACGAGCAGCCATCGGTGAGCCCTGGCTCCTGCTCCGCACGTCATCTTCGTGGCGCGCTGAGCTGACACGGCTGCGCGGCGACTGACGCCCATCGCCACTCGCACGTGCACGCCCTGAGCGTCTCGGAGCACCAGCGTCCGCGCCATCAGGCATACGACAGACAGGGACGTGCCGAGAGGGAAACGTGATGGCCTCTGCTGGGGCGGACCAGCAAGGCACGTGAGTGTGGGCGCCACTCAGTGCAGTAGCCCAGAACGCAGCACAGTTGAGTTGGTGGAGAGATTTGGCGCAAGGGGAGATCCCTCGCGCTTGATCGCCCCGAGAGACTCGCGGTCGTCGGGAATCTCATCGCCTTGAGCCAAAATGGCTACGGACGTGTGTATGTGTGTGTATGTGTGTATGTGTGTGTGTGTTTGTGTGTGTGCGGCCCCTGCTGGTGCTAGGGCGAGGGCGCCATTCTGCACGACGAGAGCAATACGCCGATCCTGAACAATGAGGCCGACGCTACCGCCGGAACACAATTCGGCAAACAAGAAAAAACGCTCCGATTGGAAATATATACATCGATGGCCTGCAAGTGTTGAGATCCTGTGTGAAAGCCGTATAGGGGGAGAAGGGGGGACACGAACGCACGGGTTCAGAGGAGGGAGGCGAGAACGACGAGGAAGGACTCGGAACCAGATATATGCCCCGTGCTAGTGCTAGGGCGAGGGCACCATATTGAACGACGAGAGCAAAACGCCGATCCTGAAATGAGGCCGACGCTACCGCGGGAATACAATTTGGCCAACAACAAAAAACGTTCCGATCAGAAATATGTACATCGATGGCCTGCAGATATTGAGATCCTGTGTGAAAGCCGTACAAGGGAGAAGGGGGGACACAAACGCACAGGTTCAGAGGAGGGAGGCGAGCAGTATTCGCAGTGGGTAACCGTAGAAGGAGGGGAGTGAAGACGAGGATGACAATGAAGAGGAAGCGGATGTGAACGACGCGAGGGTACGGATAAATGGAACCACGAAGACAACGGCGGTAAGGAGGAAGGGGAGAACGCAGAGGTAGAGAGACGCAACGAAAGATCAACGACGGCGCAGGGCCTCGGTAATGCTGCGGGACAATCCGCACGGCATCGCGGACTGGCTGCAGAGGCGCTCCAATACCTCTGGCACCGACACGTAAACCTGAAGGAGCCCAAACAACACCTCCTACCCGACTTCCTGTACACTGTCTTTCGCACGATGGCTCCTCCTGAGCCTTCCCGCCCTCCGCCCCCCACCCCCAAAATAACCAACACATGCACAAACGCGCTGGCGTTCCCCTTGTTCTGCATGGAACCGCGCCGGTGCGTTCTGCCAGTGCCCTGGCGAGGAAGGTCTTACCCGCCAGCGGTGGCCCAGAGATGGCGACCGCCGGGTGCACCGCCACGCGGCTGGGCGAGGGCTGGTAGATGAAGTCCACGGGTCGCTCGAGCAGCTGCTCCTGCTCGGCGGTGCCCCTCGGGTAATAGAGCCGCCTCTGGAATTCCATCGGCAAAAGACATCACCAACGAGAGGGGTTGAGCACGTGCAACTGGCGAAGGGAGGTCTTGCTTGCAGGCTTCGGCAAAGCAGGAAAAACAACAGGAGGTGGCGAAACCACTACAACAATTTATTTGTAGATGTATGGGCCCTTGGGCTCAAACCTGGGCAACAACAAAACATAGAGGCTGTTCGTTGGAATAAACGCCTGTTCGAGGTCGAAAGGGGCAGGGTGGTTCCTTAGGGTTGCATGCGACATGCTGATTTTGAGCGGCGAGCCCCTTCGGTGTTCCTTTCATCTCAGCACGCTCGGATTCGGTTCGTCGATCAGGGCTGCTGGTCGAAGGAACGGGGCTCCACACTACGCCGCGAATAAAGAGTGCAACAACTCAATGCTTGGGAACAACGCTGTCAAACATGCACTCAATGGGATGTCGTGTGCAGATGTGCAGTGACTCTGATGCCTCTCCAGGAGAGGTCTGGTGAACAACCGACAAGTTCCTAGTGGTTTCTTGTAAGAAGAGCGTGCCAACAGAAAGAGGACAGGGAGAGATAGTGGGAGAAGTTCTGGTGATGAGAGAGGAGGGGGCAGGTGCATGGGGACAAGCAGGATTAAACGAGGACGAGGAAGCCGGTGGAGGGGGAGGCGTGCGGCAACGAGGGAGTCGGGGGAGCAGGATCGGATCGCACCTGCGGGGCCTCCTAGTGCCTAGACAGGAGGAGGAAGGAAGAATCGGAACGCGCAGGAGCTCCTTCTCAAAACCCTGCCAGGGGCAAGTCCGCGCGCAACGCACAGCGCGGGCTCCACGTCAAGAGCCCGCTGCGCCGCTGCCCGCCGAGGCCGCGGCGGCCACGCCCCCGGTGGCTGACGATGAGCAGGGACCGACCGTCCCGGTATTCCTATAGTCCTTCCACGACATGTTCGTAGAACCCAAAAATGCTATAAGAACAAACACAGAGTTCTTTGAACATAAGACCCGATGGGATACCACAAGACAGTCCCAGCCAGAAATGGTCTTGGAACACTGCTTGGTAGGACTGCAGGCACGCCAGGGCCGCTCCGCCACTGCTCGATGACGGCGCCGAGTCCGACGGCGCCTCCGCTGCGGGCGCGGGGGCGGCGCCGAGGGGGCCCTTCGCCGGCGGCCCCGCGGTCCGACCGCCCGCGGCGTCGTCGGCGGCGTGCACGGACGGCGTGCCCCCCGCCGCCGCGGCCCGCTCCGCCGCGGCCCGCGGCGCCTGCCCGGGGGGCCGGTGCGCCGGCGCCGCGGGCAGCGGCGAGGGGGCGGCGGCTCTGGCCGGCGGCGGTGGCGGCGGCGCGCTGGCCTCGGGTCGGGCGCGTCCCTCTCTGCGGGCGGAGTTCGGGGGGAAGACACAAAAAGGGGCCACGCGAACAGAAGTCACAAAAGTCGTCCTCGTCACCCGAGAGTTTTTGGACTGGTTTGGAATTACTACTCCTCCCGTAGGGTTAAGTCGTGCCTGTCCCCCTACAGGGGGATTGTCGACGAAAAATAAAAGATACACCAAACATGATCAAACAATAGTCCAAAAATGGTCGGGGGACTATTTTTTGAGTTTTTTTTGCCTTTGGGGGATATTTTTGGGGTATTTTCATTTTTCGTCGAAAATCCCCCTGTGGGGAGACACGCCCGACATAACCGTAGGGGGACATGCCCGACTTCACGCTCGCCCCGGCTTGCGCCTGCCACGAGGTGCCTTCCTGGATCGCCTCGAGGCTGCCCGCGCTGCCCCGCGGCCAGCGGACGTGCTCGGGGGGCTCGGGCCGCCGGCGCCGCTCCTCGAGCGCCGCCTCCTGCTGGGCCAGGGCTCGCGCGGAGTCTCCCGGCGCCTGGAGGCAAGCCGGCGAGGACGCGATGCTGCTGATGATGCTGATGCTGATGATGATGATGCTGATGCTGATGCTGATGATGATGCTGATGCTGATGCTGATGCTGATGATGATGCTGCTGCTGCTGATGATGATGATGATGATGATGATGATGATGTTGATGATGATGATGATGATGATGGTGGGAATGATGGGAATGATGGGAATGATAAGGATGGTGGTGATGGTGATGATGGTGATGATGACGATGGTGGTGATGATGATGGTGGTGGTGAGGCGCCTGCAGGCAAGACAGCGAGGCCACGTACCTGGTCGCCGCCACGATCCCCAAGGCAGCCCCTCCCAGCACGATGGCCACCAGCTGGAACTGCGACACCCGGTGCTCGACGTCGTCCTTCGGCGAGGGGGCCGGGGCGGCAGGGGCCGCAGCGACAGGGGCCGCGGCCCCGGCAGCCGAAGGCGCGGCAGGGGCCGCGGCCGCGGCGGCTGCAGCCACCGCTGGCGCAGACGGCGCCGCCGCGCCGCCCTGCGCAGCGGCCGTGGCGCGAACGGCGGGCGCCGTCGAGCCGCCCTGCGCCGCAGGCGCCGCCATGGCCACGGAGCCACCCTGCGTCGAGCCGCCCTGCGTCGCAGTCGTCGCAGGCGCAGGCGTCGGGGTGGAGGCGGCCGCGAGCGCCGTCACGCCACCCGACGCGCCGGCCGCGGCAGCAAACGTCCTGCTCGCCGTGCTTGCTCCAGCTGCGGGGGCCGCTGCGGCTGCGACAGCTGCAGCGGCGGAGCTCACAGCCCCGGCGGGGCCGCCCGGCGCCGCGGGCACCGCCCTGGCCGCTGCCGCTGAGGCTGGTGCGGCGGCCGCGCGCGCCGCCGCGTCGCCCGACGCGCTGGCCGACGGAGAAAGTGCGTCGGTCGCTGAGAGCGCTGCGGCTGCGGTCGCTGGAACTAGAAGAAGAAAACACGCCATGCGCTTCAACTTTTGGCGCTCAGCGCGGGTTTCTTGGGGCTGCGCTGGACCCCCCTCCCTTGCGGAGCGCACCAGGGGCGGCGCCGGAGGCGCCGTTGGGGGGCCCAGCGCGAATCCAAGAAGTCCGCGCGGCGCGCAAAAAATTCACGATTCTGGCGTTTTTTCTTCTTCAGGGATCGGTGACCCCCGCGGCCCCGGTGACCGCCCGCGGAGAGGCGGCAAGGACGGGCGCTGGGGAAGGGCCCGGCGCGGCGCCCGCGGCGGGAGCGGGAGGTGGTGCGGCCGCGGAGTCGCCTTCCCCTGCTCGCGAGGGGCCTGCCACGGCTGCCAGCGTGGCTGGTGCGGCGAGCACGTGGAGACTTGCGAAGGTATCCGTGCCGTCCCTCGGGGCAGATGCATGCGATGCCATCGGTAACGAGCCCGCCCGAGGCACCTGATTTGGACGCCCTGAGCGGGTACGGGCAAAACAGGGCACAACGAGTGTTATCTAAAACCAACAGCGGCCGCTGTTGGGTAGGCGGCCTTCGATCCCAAACGGACACCGTCCGCGGCGACACCGACAGCAAGCCCTGTGAAGATGAACAGGAACTGCTGTCGTCTTTGCGCCCATTCTTTCCGTACCCATCTCGATCGCCCCGACCTGAGAATCCGTCTGCTTGATAACGATGCTCCCGGACGCCGTCACTTCAAACTGCCGGTCTCTGCGCATGAGGTGCGCTTGGCTGCTGCCTCTGGCATGAAGAGGGGGGTCCTGGTGGAAGCGGGCCCTGGACGCTGGGGCTGTCCGCTTGACGGGCCTCTCCAGCCCTTTGGGCGCACAGGTGGTTTGGAGAGCGTCTGTCCTATGTTTCTTCGTCTTCTTCCTCTTCTTCTTCTTTCAGCCTCCTTCCCCTACTCCACCCCCCAACCTCTAGCCTGGGTCTGGATGGGGGGGGCGAGGTGTCAGATGATCCCTCTTTGTCCAAAACGGCTCCATGAGGGCCCCAGATAGCCAAGACGGCCTCCAAGATTGCCCCAGATGGCCCCATACGATCTCCAACAGGACTCCAGGAGATCCCAAGACCACCCGAAGACTGCTGGACGTGGCCACGGAGCCTCGCAAGCAGACCACGAGATGCCAAAATCATTCAGAACGCTTGTTTCTTCAAGGATGTTGGCCATCTCGCCTTTCTGTTTCCGATGACCTCTGATGCCTCAAGATGGCCCCACGATCGCCCCAGAGACCCCCAAGAGGGGCCCAGAATAGGCCCAAGACGACCCCAAGGTCGCCCAAGAGCATCCCCGAAGCGTTCCCGAAGGCGAGGCAACGAAAGGACCCCCATCTTTTCCCGATGCCCTCCAAAATCCACACGAGGGCTTTCAAGGCCCCCAAGAGGATCCAGAGAGGGCACCAGAAGAGCTCCGAAATCTCGCAGTCCTCAGAGGGCTACGAACAAGCTGCAAGAGGCTTCCACGAGGCTTCCACTGGGGTACGCGAAGCGTCAGTAATTCATCAGCATGCACCGTTTTTGCACGAGCCTGGGGCCAAGCAAGGGCCCTGGAAGCACGGAGATGCTGAAAAACCTGTAGAACGCCCCTCTCCTCCAGGACACCTTTTCTTCATGCTGACACCTGCCAGGTGGATGCGAATGGGGAGCAACGAGACCAGCGGAGTAAGCCAACTGGCGTCCCGCTGCGGCTGAGGTGCACATGCAAAACCGAACAAACACTGAGAAGGGTACCGTACAAGCCGCTCGGAAAGAGTGGGTCGAAGCACGAATTACGACGGCAGCAACATTATATTAGATTTCGGCCCAACCTGAAATATGAAGTCAAACAGGCACCCCTTCGATTCGGTTGATCAGGCAGGAAGTCGATTGAAATAACGTGGGACTTGGGAACGCAACAGTACATGCGGTCAACGAGCAGCGTGTGACTGAACTACGTCCTCGCGTCTTCCGCGCCCATACTTCCGACGTTATGGATTGTTCTAAACGTGTGATCCTGGAGCCCGCGGCAGTCCTTTTGCGTGGGACCTTCGTGCCGTGGGCCGTCGTTCGCGGGGGTCCCAGGGCCTGGAGCGGGCCTCCAAAGGCCCCGTGGGCTACGCTTCGGCCGACTCGAAGTGTCCCTGGCCGCCGCCGCCGAGCCTGGGCCATCGCTGCGCGCAGCGGGCGCATGCTCCGTTGCGTAGGCAGCGGAGCCCCTGGCCAGGGCCGCCAGCAGTGCGGTCACGAGCAGCTTCCAAGTCTGCGCCGCGGGCGCGCGGAGCGCGGGCGGCGCCGCCCGCGCCATGCCAGCGCCTCCTCGTCTCCGACGTCGTCCTCCTCCTTCTCCTCCCTCCCCCGTCCCCTCCTTCTCCCCCTTGTCGCCCTCCTCCTGCCTCATCGCCATCGTGCTGCCGATGCTCCTCCTTCTCCTCCTCCTCCTCCTCCTGCTCCTCCTCCTCCTCCTCCTCCTCGTGGCCTCCACGGGCGCGTTTCTTTGAGCCGACGAGATGGCTGCAGAGGAATAGGAGGATAGGCTGGAGCAAGTCTTTGAAGCTGCAGCTGCCGTGCCTGAAAGTTCTCAATTGGTCGCCGCCGACATCCTTGCGAGCGTCCTGCCTATTGGCGGTCTATCACCACCTGCCTCACCCATTGCTCCATCTGCTCGTCGTCATCGTCGTGGTCGTGCTCGTCGCGATCGCCAACCTCCATCCCATGAGAAAAAGAGAAACATGCACAACCGTATGACCAGCAATCTTGAAGGAGATCGGATGCTCATGCTGGCGGAGCACAGGTTTGTTCAGAACCTGGCTCACGCCTTAGCCCCGCAAGCAATCATGTTACACGGCCTTCACCGAGTAGGCGTTGCCTCCAATGTTCCAACACATCTTGGCAATAGAACTGGACGACGCCGTCGGCGACGACCACAACGAGGTTGTTGAACTCGGTTTGCGCTGCTTCGAGCGATCACTACCAGAGAGCTCATACGAATATGTCCTGTGTCTGTGCATAACATTGCGAATTATGATTGGTGTTACGAAGCGTGTGACATGTGAGTGCTCAAAGTCCTCAGCTGTGTGCCCTCTGTGTGTGGCATGCCGCTTCGCAACGGATGTCGCATGCTCATGTCCTGGGTGCGGGTTATGAATGCAAAGTGTTTGCTCACTTGATGTCCGCGATGTATGTTGTGAACGCCTAGTGCGAATGCACGCTCTTGCTGTATGTTCTCGATGCTGGTTAGTGATGCCTCTCCTTACGCATTGTACCAAGGTATTATCCTGGCTTCGCTTCGTCATGTCTGTGAGGGGTGACTATTCTTGGTACGTGGTAAGGATGTGTATTACGTGTGTGTGTAATGACATCAGTGTCGGATTCCGGAACCTGCCACTGAAATGTATTACTGGTTGATGTTGCTGATGTGCGGCGAGCTCTTTCCGCAGAGGGCAAATCCATGAGTTGGTCATGTTTGAGAGCTGCGCAAGTAGTGATTGCAGGGTCCTGGTTGATGTTGCTCATGTGTGCTAGTATTGTCTTGTCTAGCTGCCTAGTATGGATGTCTGCCCTTGGTATATGTTCATGCGGTATGCCATTCGCGCATGTGTCGATGTCTGGTTGAGAGTCTGTTTTTGATGTCTGTTCTGGATGCCTGTGGATGGTGCGACGTGGTGACGCCTGTCCTGCTGTCTGATTTGTCGTGTAATGCTTCCATGGCAACGGGCGGCTCGGGGCCACCAGGGCCTGTCGTGCGAGGCGGGAGAATCTGGGACCTTCGGGACTACTGGGCCCGGAGGGTAGGGCCAATGGGCGGGCGCAGAACACACACACACACGACAGCACCCTGCAGTGCGCGAGGCCAGGAGGAGCAGCAAGTCAAAATGGAAACCTCGCAAGCCGATGGGGCAAGGCCGAGGAAAACGATTATCCCAGTGCGACCCTACCTAGGAGTTGGAACCCCTAGGAAAGCAGCATTAGTAGTAACAGTAACGCTAAGCTAAAGCTAAGCTAAAGCTAAGCTAAAGCTAAGCTAAATCTAAGCTACAGCTAAGCTAAACTTAAGCTAACGCAAAGCTTAAGCTAAGCGGAAGCTAAGCTAAATATAAGCTAAATCTAAGCTAAAGCTAAGCTAAAACTAAGCTAAAGCTGAGCAGCAGCTAAGCTAAAGCTAAGCTACAGCTAAGCTAAACATAAGCTAAAGCTAAGCTAAAGCTAAGCTAAAGCTAAGCTAAATATAAGCTAAATCTAAGCTAAATCTAAGCTACAGCTAAGCTCAAGCTAAGCTCAAGCTAAGCTAAAGCTAAGCTAAAGCTAAGCTAAACGCTAAGCGAAAAGCTAAGCGAAAAGCTAAGCGAAACGCTAAGCTAACGCTAAGCTAAAGCTAAGCTAAAGCTAAGCTAAAGCTAAGCTAAAGCTAAGCTAAAGCTAAAGCTAAAGCTCCCAGGGGACTGGGGGGAACCGCTCCCAGGGGACTGGGGGAACCGCCCGGGGCGCTTTGCACTGCCCGGCCCCTTTAAGCTAAGAGAGTAAGAACCCTTCTAGGCAGAGCCTAGGTAGGGAAAAACCACTAACAATGGAGGGCAATAACTACCAAGGACGGGCGGAACACAACATCCAGTGGGCGGGCGGGACAAGACATTAGCAGTAAGCTTCGCGCGTCGATGGGACAGATGGGCGGAAAGTGAAGCATGCAGCCAGCGGGCGACACATTGAATGTAAACGTGGCTTGTTGGAACAAAGAAAACACATGCATGACGACGGCGTCCACGACGACGGCCGGAAGGGAAATTAATGTGGGCGAGCGGGCGGGATGTTGAATGCGAAGTTCGACCTGTGGTGAAGAAAGGCTCAAGAACACAAGCAAGATCGAAGGTTGGGGGTGAGATCGAAGTGGAACGAAGACCCCCCCACCGGGAAATCGGCTTCGGTTTCGTGTTCGTGTCGTGCGCGCTGGCGAAGCGAAGCTGCGTGGGCGGGCGAGAAGAATTCGCCGGCCCAACGGGCCAGAGGCGTGCGAAGATCTCCGGTAACTACTTAACAATATTTCTTGTTCGCGCGCGCGGGGCGGCTCCTGGAGGGCGCCGGACGAAATGTACCCCGGCCGATCCCCGGCCGGGTCCCGGGCGATCCTCAGGGGGGAGGCTATTTTTCGCCACCCCTCACAAGGATCGTGGCCTCCGAGTGGGGGGCTGCAATCGACTACCCCCCCTCCCGCCCCAAGGGGCCCCCAAGAGCCCCCCAGGAGGCCCCAGGGGAACCCAATACGACGCCAAGGAGCCCCAAGACGCTCCCAAGAAGCCCCCAAGAGCCCCCAAGCCGGCCCCAAGAGGCCCCAAATAGCGCTCCAGGGCCGGCGGAATGAGCGAAGCGATTAAATAAACCCCTTCATTGCTCGGGCGCAGCTCGGGCAGAAATCCGCCCACCCGCCCGCTTGGCGGGCGGGTGCTGGGGGTGTCCCGCCATGGGGCCATGGTGTCCTGATGGTGTCCGGTTGCGTCCCGTGGTGTCCGTAGAGTCCCGCGGTTTCCCGATGGTGTCCCGCCGTGGTGTTTCGCCGTGGTGTCCCGTGGTGATCCGCGGTGTCTAGCGGTGTTCCATGGTGTCCCGTGATACTGTCCCGTGGTGTCTCGTGGTGTCCCGCAATGTCCCACCGTGGTGTCCCGACGCTGTCCCGTGGTGTTCCGCTGTGTCCCGTGGTGTCCCGTGGTGTCCGATGATATCGATAGTGATATCGATCGTGAATTCGATGATTAAATCGATAGTGAGATGGATCGTGATATTGGTAGTGGAATCAATAGTAAGATCGATAGTGAAATCCGTTGGGGGATCCATCGTGAGACGAATTCTGAGATCGATCATGGTACTGAGTTTTGAAGTCGATTGTGAGATCGATAGCACCATCGATGATACGATATGCCACGCTATGCTATGATACGCTGTGCCTTGTCGTGCTACGGTATGCTATGCACCACACTGTTACATGATGCCATGAACTGTGATGCAATGCTGTGCACTACTACGCTGGGATGGTATGAGACGCTGTACTGCACGCCATTGCAAGTCAAAAGCATGCCCTAACGATACTTGTGATCCCTCCAGTATTGGCTTCCTGTTGGGTTCCTCAGGGGCCAAAGGGGCTACTAATGCGCCCGTCAGGGGTGTGTGAGGTTGTGAGATGACGCAGGCATCATGAGGAATCCCACTACAGCTTCAAACGATTGCGTTGTTCAAGTTGCTCTGGTTGATACACTGGTCTTATTGCGGCTACACGTGGGTGAAGGTTGCACGGTGTCCGTTGGGGGCTTTCGGTGTAAGGATGGCCGTGCACTTCATTTGGGCGATTCTGGAAACCCTGAACCCAAAAACGTTTTCATCTCCTCGGCCCTCACTTTTTACTTCCGCCGCCTGCCGCCGACCTTACGCCGCCCTTCTGCCGCGGCAGAGAGGACAACGCCTTCGATCCTCGAAGGCAAGGCCCTTCTTGGAACGCCCCATTTGGATGCGCGTGGCAGGCAATCGTCCCTCAGAAGTGTTTCGCCCCGCGGTAGGCCTGGTAATCGAAGGGTCTCCAGTCTAGAGGGAGAGGCGCGCTGCCACCCTGACGAGCTTGGCAGAGGAACCATTCCTCAATGCACAATGGCCGAGGCGAGCGTTTTCTTATTCGGCGTTTCGACATTGGGCGGAAGGGAGGGGGAGGGGGGGGGGGGCTCTGGCTCCGGACCTCTGCTTAGTGCGACTGTATGGAACCGTGCGACCTCTGGGGAAACAGGCGCAACAGAAACAGCCAGGATCCACCACAACAGGGGGGGGAGGGGGGGGGGGCGAGTGCCCGCGCCGATCGGCAAAACAATGAATAAGAAAACGATCACCAGTAGGATTGAGAAACAACTGTTTGTGAAGCCCCGAGCCAGCATGGCTTGAAGGCCCCAGCAGGTTAGGATCACGGAAACCTGTATATGTGGTTCTGCGATGGCTGTGCAAATCAGCATTGGTACGTCGAAGGTCAAGGGTGCTGCTCGCAGAGGACGACGAGAGCACCCGAAGACCCCATGCATTTACGAGTGAACCGGTGGATGGGGAGGGGGGGGAGGAAAGGGATCAGGAGGGGGAGCAGGGGGGGGGAAGGGGGTGGGGAGGAGGGACTTAGCGGAGGAGGAGGCGGCGGGCAACGAAGAGGAGCGGCCCAATTGCGTCCAAGGTCGCCTCCGGAATTCTGTCGGGTACCTGTAGGCGTCGGGCCTTCCGGCGAAGAGCGGCGTGTCCATGAAGAGTGGGCCGGCCATCTCGAACCTGGACGTCTGCGCCAGCCCTCTCTGCGCAAGGTCGAGGGACTGCGAGGGCGTGACCTCTGGGACGGAGGGGAGGATTAGAAGTTGATGAGGAGGACGACGACGACGACGGTTCACGGGTGGCGGTCCAACAATCTGACCCAAGCTTGAGACTGCAAGGTCGCGGACACCCGACCCTTTCACATGCATTATCTGTGCTCTCGCTTGCGCCGTTACGGATGTTGCTGCTGACGTCTGTGCTCATCGCTATGCCTGCGCCTACTGACGTACTTCAGTGCCCTTCGTGCAAGTGCGAGGATGGTGTCGTTCTGAAGTGCGCCGCCCCTCCTCCTCCTCCTTCTCCTCCTCCTCCTCCTTCTCCACCTTGTCCACCTCATCCTGCTCATGCGAAGGTCCTCGTCATCCCCGCGATCACTACCCTTCTAGAACCTAGAAGCCCCTTCACAGAACTCATGAACCCTTTGGAAACTGTTAAACGTCCCCTCTCCTCCCCCTCCTTCTCCCCTCCGTCTGCTGCTTTTCAAGGCACCTCAGAACACGTTCACTTCGTGGAAGCCTCCCGAACCCCTGGCTCACACCTCCCCCACCCCCACCTTCGCCACCGCCTCACCAGTACCCTCCGTCTCCTCATCGTCCCCGTCCTCTTCCTCCTACGGCAGTGGCAAAGGCGACGACCCTCGCTGCCCCAGTGGAGCAGGGACCAGCTGCCACGGTCTGCTTGTAGCCATACCGCCATACCATAAGACGTTCCTAGACAGTACTTGCACGGCGGAGGACCTTGCACTAGATGCAGCTGCGTGTAGCGCGGGGGTGGCCCTCTCCGCATATACAGCGAGCCGATGGAGGGTACAATCAAAACTGACAGCAAGGATGCGCGACAAGAATGAAAGCCCCGTGGACGCCCATGGCGAAGCTTTCCCAGCGGCCATGGTCGTCGAGAGGAGTACAGGATGGACCGAAGAGGCAAGGATGCAAGGGTGTTCTTGGGAAGGTTGCCCATCCTTATCATCGGTTTCGACTGTAAGATTTGGGATTCTCCATAAAGCGGATACAACATACAACATGTGGACTCCACCCCCATGGGGCCGCAGCTGATGCCCCCTACGGGGCACGGCCCGTGCGAGGCGGGGCGAGAAAGGCTGGCAGCGCACCAGCAGCAGCATGCAGCGGGCAGCACAGCAACAGCAGCACACAGCACAAGTCTTGCTGTGGACTGCTGCAAGCTGGGCTCCCGAAAGGACCAACAAGCAAGACATATATGTTTATATACACAAAAGTAAAAATATATATGAATATTTGTATATATGTATATATCGGAGGTTGGGCGTGAGATCGAAGTGGGACGGAGAGCCCCCCACCAGGAAATCGGTTTCGGCTTCGGTTTCGTGTTCGTGCGTGCCGTGCGCGAGGGCGAGGCGAAGCTGCGTGGGCGGGCGAGAGAAATGTCTTCTGTGGCTCAGGCGCGGCCGGACCAAATGATTCTCCCTCTGGCAAACGGTGGCGCGCGGTGTCCCGCTGGTGTCCCGCCGGTGTCCCTCTTGTGGCTGGGTCCCGGCTGGACCAAATGATTCTCCCTCCGGCAAGCGGTGGCCCGCGCGGTGTCCCGCCGGTGTCCCGCCGGTGCGAAAACGATAGTGAAACCGATGACGAAATCGATTGTGAGATCGATCGTGAGATCGATAATGGAACCAATAAGAAGATCGATCGTGCGATCGACCGTGGGATCGATAGTGAGATGAATCGTGATATCGATTGTGAGATCGAATGATCGGAAGTTGGGGGGTGAGATCGCAGTGAAACGGAAACCCCCCACCCCCCACCAGGAAATCGGTTTCGGTTTCGTGTTCGTGTCGTGCGTGCGGGATAGGCGAAACTGCGCGTGATCTAGGCCGAAGTAGGAGCGAAAGTCCGTTTCCTGTCCGCCTGTGGCCGGGAGGTGCCCCAGTTGGGCCGGGCGGTGTACTGGGCGTCCCGGCGCTAACGCATGTCGCTAATTTCATTAAACATGTTTTTCGGCGCCTCCGGCGGGCTTCTCATCGAACCCAGCTTATCTTATCCAATCCACCTTGTCAAATCCAATCCATACTATCTTATAAAGCCATATTGTCCCATCTTATCCTATCCCACCCAATCCAATCCACTCAACCCAATCCATCAATTCATTTGTTTTTGCGCCTGCGGCGGGCAAATTCAATCCAGACTATCTTATCCAATCCATGTCTTCCAATCCAACTCGTTTTATCTTTCCCGATCCATCTTATTCCATCCAATTCAACCCACCCAACCCAATCCATCAATTCATTTTTGTCGGCGCCTGCGGCGGGCTTTCTTATCCAATCCAGCTTATCATATCCGATCCATCTTATATTGCCAAACCCACCTTGTCCCATCTTATCTTACCCACCCAATCCAACCCATCCAAACAAATTCATGAATTCATTTGTTTCTGCGCCTGCGGCGGGCCAATCCAACCTATCCTTCGTTATCCAATCCATCTCTTCCAATCCAACCCATCTTATCTTTTCCTATCCATTTTTCCCCATCCGATCCAACCCACCCGACCCAATCAATCAGTTCATTTTTGTCGGCGCCTGGGCGCGATCGCGGCAGACTGCGAGGCTCGAGCGTTCGGCGCCCTTGCTTTTCGGGTGACAGGCTGGAGGTCAGTCAGGGCGGGCATTTGATCTCAATCCCCCCAATCTCCTTATCGCCCGCAGGGCGGTCGTATAGGTATCGCTAGGGAGATCGACACTGGGATCGATAGCGATATCCACAGTGGGATCGACAGTGACATCGATCGCGTGAGATCGATAGTGAGATCGGTCGAGTGAGATCGATAGAGGGATCGATGGCCCCAAAAGCGAGCGACAACGCAACAATCACCACTGTTGCCCATTGCTGGCCGCTGCTGGCGCCCCTCCCCCCCCAACCTTCTTTCACCCGCAGGGTGGTCGCATAGGTATCGAATGTTGGGGGGTGAGATCGCAGTGAAACGGAAACCCCCCACCGCGAAATCGGTTTCGGTTTCGTGTTAGCGTCGTGTGTGCGGGCGAGGCGAAGGTGCGCGTGATCCTCTTGTAGCTAGGCCGAAGTAGGAGCGAAAGTTCGTTTCCCGTCCGCAGGTGGCCGGGAGGTGCCCCACTTGGGCCGGGCGGCGTCCCGGGTGTCCCGGGCGTGCCGGGCGTCCTGGCGCTAACGCGCGTCGCTAATTTCATTAAACATTTTTGTCGGCGCCTGCGGCGGGTTTTCTTATCCAATCCAGCTTATCTTGTCCAATCCATCCTGTCCAATCCAATCCATACTATCTTATCAAACCCACCTTGTCCCATCTGTTCTTATCGCACCCAATCCAATCCATCCAACCCAATCCATCAATTCATTTGTTTCTGCGCCTGCGGCGGGCCAATCCAATCCAGACTATTTTATCCACTCCATATCTTTCAACCCAACCCATCTTATCTTTTCCAATCCATATCGCCCCATCAAATCCAATCCACCCAACCCAATCCATCAATACATTTTTGTCGGCGCCCGCGGCGGGCTTTCTCATCCAATCCAGATTACCATATCCGATCCATCTTGTCCAATTCAATCCATCTTATCTTACCAAACCCATCTTGTCCCACCTGATCTTACCCACCCAATCAAACCCATCCAAACCAATCCATGAATTCATTTGTTTCTGCGGCTGCGGCGGGCTAATCCAATCTATGCTTTGTTATCCAATCCATCTCTTCCAATCCAACCCATCTTATATTTGTCCTATCCATCTTATCCCATCCAATCCAATCCACCCAGCCCAATCCATCAATTCATTTTTGTCGGCGCCTGGGCGCGATCGCGGCAGACTGCGAGGCTCGAGCGTTCGGCGCTCTTGCCTTTCGGGTGACAGGCTGGAGGTCAGTCAGGGTGGGCATTAGATCTCAATCCCCCCCCAAACCTCCTTATCGCCCGCAGGGCGGTCGTATAGGTCGGAGGTTGGGGGGTGAGATCGCAGTGAAACAGAGACCCCCCACCGGGAAATCGGTTTCGGTTTCGTGTTCGTGTCGCTCGTGCGGGCGAAGCGAAGCTGCGCGTGCTGGTCCTATAGCTAGGCCGAAATAGGAGCGAAAGTCCGTTTCCCGTCCGCCGGTGGCCGGGAGGTGTCCCTGTTGGGCCGGGCGGTGTCCCGGGCGTACCGGGCGTCCTGGCGCTAACGCGCGTCGCTAATTTCATTAATCATTTTTGTCGGCGCCTGCGGCGGGCTTTTTTAATCCAATCCAGCTTTTCTTATCCAATCCATCTTGTCCAATCCAATCCATCTTATCATGACCAACCCATCTTGTCCCATCTTACCTTATCCTTCCCAATCCGATCCACCTAGAGAATCCATCAAATCATGTGTTTCTGCGCCTGCGGCAGGCCAATCAAATCCATCTCATCTTATCCAATCCATATCTTCCAATCCAACCCATCTTGTCTTATCAAATCCATCGTATCCAATCCAATCCAATCCACCCAACCCAATCCTGCAATTCATGTTTGTCGGCTGCTGCGGGCTTTCTTATCCAAGCCAGCTTATCTTATCTCATCCATCTTGTCCTATCCAGTCCATCTTATCGTATGCAACCCATCTTGTCCCATCTTATACTATCCTTCCCAATCCAACCCATCCAGCCCAATCCATGAATTCATGTGTGTTTCTGTGCCTGCGGCGGGCCAATGCAATCCATCTTATCTTATACAATCATTACCTTCCAATCCAACCCATCTTGTCTTATCCAATCCATATTATCCCATCCAATCCAATCCACCCGACACTTTTGTCGGCGCCTGGGCGCGATCGTGGCAGACTGCTAGACTCAAGCGTTCGGCGCCCTTGCCTTTCGGGTGACAGGCTGGAGGTCAGTCAGGGTGGGCATTTGATCTCAATCCCCCCCCCACCTCCTTATCGCCCGCAGGGCGGTCGTGTAGGTATATATCGGAGGTTGGGGGGTGAGATCGCACTGGAACGGAAACCCCACCCAGAAAATCGTTTCGTTTCGCTCGTGTCGTGCGTGCGGGCGGAGCGAAGCTGCGTGGGCGCGCGAGAGGAATGAACCCGCCGTTGCTTCTCCTCCGTCCGTCCGTCCGGCGGTGGCCCGCGTTGTCCCGCAGTGTCCCGTGGTGTCCCGTGGTGTCCGCCGCTGTTAGGGCGAAGTCAAGACACACGTTTCTCCTCCGTCCGTCCGTCCGTCCGGCGATGGCCCGCGGTGTCCCGCGGTGTCCCGTGGAGTCCCGTGGTGTCCGCCGTTGCAAGGGCGAAGTCAAGACAAATTATTATCGTCCTCCCCCCCGTCCAGCGGTGGCCGCGGTGTCCCGCGGTGTCCCGTGGTGTCCCGTGGTGTCCGCCGTTGCTAGGGCCAAGACACATGATTCTCCCCCGCCCGCCCGTCCGGCGGTGGCTCGCGGTGTTCCGCGGTGTCCCATGGTGTCCTGTGGTGTCCCGCTGAGTGAGATCGATAGTGAGATCGATCGTGATATCGATAGTGAGATCGATACTGAGATCGATGCGGTGCCCCGAGGTCCCCCGTGGTATCCCGTGGTGTCCCAAAAAATTGAGATCGGTAGTGAGATCGATAGTGATATCGACGAAGTGTCCCGTGTGTCCCGTGGTGTCCCGTTGAGTGAGATCGATAGTGAGATCGATACTGAGATCGATACTGAGATCGATGTGGTGCCCCGAAGTGTCCCGTGGTGTCCCAAAACATGAGATCGATAGTGAGACCAATAGTGAGATCGACAGGTGTCCTGTGGTGTCCCGTGGTGTCCCGTTGAGTAAGACCGACAGTGAGATCGATCGTGAGATCGATGTGGTGTCCCGAGGTGTCCCGTGGTGTCCCGTTGAGTGAGATCGATCGTGAGATCGATAGTGAGACCTATAGTGAGATCGAGAGGTGTCCCGCGGTGTCCCGTGGTGTCCCTTGGTGGGCCGTGGTGGCCCGTTGGGTGAGATCGATAGTGAGATCGATAGTGAGATCGACAAGTGTCCCGTGGTGTCACGTGGTGACCTGTCGTGTCCCGTGGTGTCCCGTTGAGTGAGATCGATAGTGAGATCGATTGAGTCAGATGTTGGTTCCCCCACCTCCCCCCCCCCACAACCTCCTTATCACCCGAAGGGTGGTCGTATAGGTATAGAAATATATGATACCATTGACGGGCACACGAGCCCCTCGCAGAAACTCGAAAACCCGACGCTGCGGAGCTAGCGCGCACGGGAGAGGGAATGTGAGAACGGGTGGAGGGGGGATGGAAAAGACGCGCGGTGCAGCGGCACCGAACTGCAACAGGTGGGAGCAGGCCCAGGGACACCCTCGGTCAGGAAACAAAAGCGCCCAGCATGGACTGGACGGGAAAAGAGAAAGAAACTGCACATGGTTGGAGACTGCGTTCAAGACTATCTTGGGCAGTCTGGCCCAAAGGGATCGCGAGCATAACAGGGGAGGAGGAGGATGAGCGATAGGGCGAGGAGGAAGGTGAGGAGGGAGAGGACGAACAGAAGGAGAAGGAGGCGGAGGGGAGAGCAGGAGAAGAAGGACCACCCGCACTATTCATTGCCCAGCGTTGCCTTCGCCATCTGGTGCTTGATGAAGATGCTGCCACGCTGCTCTACGTAGGGCCTGGCGCCCCGGCAGCCCCTGCGCCCCAGAAGGGCCATCCGAGCGTCTGGGAAGAGCACCACTTGCCATACGGTGCCCTCCCCCCCGGACAGCTCGAACCCCCCTCGGCTTCCGCCCCCTTGCTCCAGTCGCACCCCCTGCTCCAGTCCTCCCCCCTGGTCCCTCCTCCCTCTTTCGCCTCCCTCCTCCTTCTTCCCACCTGCCGCCTCCTCCTTTTCCTCCCAGCCTAAGCCCCCCCCCTCTCCTTCCTCGTCCTCCTTTCCTACGTGTTCCTCATCCTTCTCTTCTTCTTCCTCCCCCTGAGTATCTTCCTCCACCTTTTCCCATGCCCACTCAAGATTCGGCCTTCCTCTCCTTCACCTTCTCTTCCTCCTCCTCCTCCGCCTCCTCCGCCTCCTCCTCCTCATTCTCTTCTTCAGTACCATCAACCTCCTGAGCACCACCGTTAGATCCCAGCAACAGAGAAATGTCACAGCGAAAAATGATTACCCCTATCAGCAGGGCATCATATCCTGAGCTGAACACAACACAACCGGCCATCGTATCAAAGGGCATGGACGACATGGCAGGAGGCGCAGGAGGGAGTAGGAAGCAGGGTGACCAGCCTGAGCGAGCTGAAGATGGCAGACGCAGCAGCCATGGGGGGCTGTTGGGAGGCCTGCAGTGCCACCGCAGCGCCGTCTGCGTAGGCTCCTCCCCGCGGTCGGCCGAAATCTTCTGGACGACGCCACGGGCCTCCTTGAGCGCCTCGGTCGGCTCCTCCCTCCTCCCTCCTCCCCCGCCTCCTCCCCCTCCTCCTCCTCCTCCTCCCCCTCCTCCTCCTCCTCCTCCTCCTCCTCCTCCTCCTCGCCCATATTCTTCACATCCTCCCTCCTCTTGGTCCTCCTCCAGAGACCTCCCATCACCCCCTCCAGCTTATCCTTATGAGCAATTGTCTTGCCATGCTTTCTCTTTACTTCCTTCCTGCTATCGGTCATCCTTGTCCCTCTTGTGATATTCCTGAGGCGCCTCGGTCAGCTCCTTCAGCACCTGCTGCTCCGCCTGCTTCTGCTCGACGAACTTGGCCTTAGCCCTGTCAGACTCCTTCTCGTCCTCGTCCGCGTCCAGCACGAGTCCATCTGGAGGATCCGGCGGATCCTCCTCCTTCGAAGGTGCGGGAACTGAACATAGGCGCCTGAGGACGAGGAGGAAGGGCGCGGGAACCAAATCCACACCTGGGACCACCTCGGCAGTGGAGCATAATAAAGATTAGAGAGCCCGCCACTAGAAATCAGACCCTCGGCTGCCGAGCTTCGTGGGGATATCCAGCGAGACCCTCCACTCGCCCGAGGAATCGGTCCACACAGCGTTCGCAAGAGATCTGACGCTTTGCCTCCCCAATCCAACGTGCCCCGGACTGGGACTGAGCTGCGTCAGAAAGGTGGCATCAGCATCGTTGTCACAATCCTTCTCCTCCCCCTGCTGCTGCTCCTCCTCCTCTGCCTGGGGGTATGCTTATGGGCCCCGTTCCTTCTCCTCGGCCTCCGCCACCAGCTTCTCATACGCCGCCTTCTTTTCGGCGTACTCACGGTCGATTGCCTCACAGTCCAAGGCGTTGGCAACGGCGACCTCATTCTTGCACTTCAATACGATGGTAATGTCTGGTATGCGCTGCGCCTCCAAGAGGAGAAATGAGAAACATATTAACAGCAGAAGAATGGTCGGGAGCAAGCAAAGGAGGAGGAGGAGAAGAAGAAGGAGAAGAAGGCGGACGAGGAGGAGGAGGAGGAGGAGGAGGAGGAAGAGAAGAAGCTGCAAGAAGAGAAACAACAGGAGGAATGAGGACCGCCACGAGGAGAATCACAATAATGATCATATGGTTGACGAGCAAGAGGAGACTGATGAAGAACGACAGTCACGCCTGCGACGCCTCTGATGGCGGCGCGACGGGCAGTGCCAGAGCAAAGGGGGCCTAGCTGGGAAGAGTTATGCTGACGATGGTAGCCCGCACTCCGTTCGGACGTCTGACAGAGGAGGGGGCGGGGAGAGGAGTGGGGAGGGGACAGAGAGGGAAGGGAAATCGAGGTGCGTGCACACCTGACATCCTACATACCCCTCCTGACCCACCCCCTCCCATGGCAACAGGAGCGCGGAAGAGGACGGAGCGAGGGCGCCTCCCGGGAAAGAGACCCGCACCTAGCAGCGGCAGCGACGACCACGAGGGCTGGGGGAACGGGAAGAGGGGAGGCGACGAGGAGGAGGAGGAGGAGGAATTTGGAGACACCATCTGTTGAGCTGAGGTGAATCACCAACCTCCTCCGCTAATGGGGAACAGGGATACAAACAGAAGGGGACGGCGACGGCGACGATGACGGAGAACGAGAAAGATAGCAGAGCCCCAGAGACCACGCAACGAGTATTTTGATTCGCTCGAGCACTGGGAGGCGAACGAGTGTCATGAGGAGTATTTCCAGTGTATTCACCGCGGTGGCTGGGCCACCGATGATGGCCTGGATTCTCCAAGGGGGCAGCACCTGTCGGTCGCCCACGGCAAGTGGGCGGCTCAAGTGGAGGCTGCCTTGCTGGACCCCGTGAGGGCCCCCGAAGAGCGCAAAGCGTTCTGCGACTGCAGCAAAGGCTACGGTGCCAAATGGAAGAGGTCAGTCGCAGCTCCTGGCCGTACGCACTGGACGTTTGATGGAGCTGAGCACTGGTCGATCGTTGACGCCCTGTGCAGACGCAGGCGGGCCATTTTCCGTCACGACAAGGACGATGACAAGTGCTCCAGCTGTCCAAGCAGGCGGCTGGCGGGCGAAGCTCCATTCCTGAGGCGACATCGCTTGGACCAGCGCCCAGACGTCCGAGAGAGGGCACGGGTGGCGCCTGATCACCTGCAGGCCATCTGGGCCAGGCACGTGCAGCTCACCAGCGGCCGGATCGTCACGGACTTGTGCCAGGCGGCGGCTGCTGTTGAGGCGGTGGCAGCGTGCGATGTGGCTCGGGGCATTGGTCGTTCGTGCAGGGCCTACGCTGCCTGGGTCTGGACGGCGTGGATGACCTCGCCGGGGGCCCTGCGCCGCCTCGTCAAGGCCCCGCACACGCCGCGACGGACCTCATTGAGAACGACGTCGGCGGCGGACCCTGTCATCATCACGTCTCGCAAGGCGGGTGAGAAGTGGACAGACGCAGCTGACATCCACAATGGTCATATCGTCATATCAGTAGGTTGGGGAGACATGCGACGGCGAGCTGCTCGGGAGAATGTCCCGCCGCTCGAGTCGGAGCAGCATGCAGACGCACGTCGTGCCACGGGCAGGAAGACGACACGTGGGGTCGACGGGTTTGGGGCTGGACGTCTGAATCGACTACCTGAGGCTGGTCTTCGAGACCTGCGCTTAGGTCGGGCATGTCCTCTTACGGGCGGATCCTGGAGGAAAAATAAACAAGTCAGAACATACTCAACAATGGTCAATCGAGCAGCACACGTCGTCCCCAGACTATGTTCGAACCGTTCTCGAATATTCCTCCTGCAGGGGGACATGCCCGACTTACACGCCGGTCGGAAAAGGTAGGTAAAAACGTGGAAGTAGGAAGGCGGATGAAGCAGATTGGGCCAGGCCCTCCCAGAGAACAACGACACACACCAGAAGCATATCGATTCTTGAAGTAGGCAGGCGCTTGAAGCAAATCAGAATCTGGGAAGCCAAACATACCTGCTTTCAACGACTTGAGCAGGGACCGACCGTCCCGGCATTCCTGTAGTCATACCACGAAATGTCTTATAATATCAAAGTGTTCTTCTCATAACAAAAAAACAGTGTTCTTAGAACATGAACCCGATGTGTTAAAACAAGACAGACTCCGCCAGAAGTGTTCTAAGAGCATTTCGTGGCAACCACGGAAGGTTCTTAGAACATTGTCTGGTGGGGCTCTAGGCGAGCCGGGACGCTTCGCCACTGCTGGCGTGCAGACCTGCGCGACCCCCATCCAGGAGCGCGAGGGAAGCCGGCCGGCCGCGCAGCCCGGGCAGCTGGCGGCCACGCTTCCTCCTTCGCCCCGGCCACGGGGAGCCTTCGGGCGCAGGCGGCCTCGCTCCTGGCTTGGGTCGGGCGTGTCCTCCTACAGGCGGATTTTGGACGACTGCTAAAAAATAGTCCGACAATTCTCACAAATATTCGAAAATAGTCCATACATCGTCCCCCGGCTAATTTTGGAGTGTGTTTGAACACTCTTCCTGTAGAGGAAGACGCCCGACGTAACCCTTGGAGTGGCCCCTCTCCCAACGAAGCTTCTTGGCGGCCCGCACAGGGGAGCAGAGGCAGGGGGGACGGCTCCTTAGAAGGGGGCTGCCTCTCAGAAGGCGCCGGCCGTCCAATGTATAGAGAAGGCCCGCGCCTTCTGAGAACCAGGGGTGCTTCAAAGAAGCCTTCCCCCCTTCCCCTACCCCGTCTGCGCGTGGCCAATCTCTCCTGGCGAAGCTTCGGGAATCTACTGACCCTGGTCAATCCAGACCCGGGTCAGTCAGGCTTTGCTCGGCGGCGAGCGAGGGGGGGGATAAGGAGGAAAAGGCTTTCTCAGAGGGCTCGCTCGGAAGTCCCCCAGCCTTCAAAGGAATTTTCTAAGGCTTGCCCGAAGACGCAACAACTTCTCAGAAGGCGCGGGGGTTTCTAAGAAGTCCCGCCGCCTTCTGAGAAGGCCTTCTCCTTCTCATTTCCCCCCTCGCTCGCCGCTGATTTTCAGGATCCTGCAAAGACTCTGCAGGATCCTGCAGGATCCCGCCACCAGGCCCGGGCCAGTGCAACCCTTGCTCTGCAAGATCCTGCAAGCTCTGGCGGCTCCGACTGACCCTCGTGTGCGTTGACCCCCGTCTCTCGAGCCCCGAAAGCTCTGTGGCGTTCCGAGCGCGCCCCGAGCGCGCAGCGTACTGGGACGCAGCCGTCCGAGGGCCCTCTGCCCTCGGGGCGGCCCTGCGCAGGGCCACCTTCGGGCGAGGTGGCGCAGTGCCAAGCGCTCAGCTGCTCGGCCCTCCTCCGCGACACTGGGAACTTCCACGGCAGCGCGTCGCTGGCGGGGCTGCTGCAGCCGGGCCTGGGCTTGGGAGTCAGGCCGACGGTCGTGGGCTTAGAGGCTCAGGCCTGCCGTCGCCCGCGGCACCTTCGAGAGCGAGGGTGGCTCAGCGAGGCCATCTGTCCCACCAGGAGCATATCGGCTGGCTCCTCCCACGGGGTCCCCTTCTCAGAGTTGGCCCTGTACCCCATCCTCGAGGAAGTGCACGCAGCGGCCCCATCAAGGAGCCTTTGAACATTCATAGACGACACCGTTGGAAGATGCGAGCTCGCAGCTACCCACGTGCTGCCAACGATGGGCGACGTCGGCACCTCGCTGGCGGAGGGCCTCAAGACGCAGCGTCTGGTCGCGCCCCCGAACTCGGCCAGTCTTCGTTCTTCATGCAAGCTGGCGACGTAGTCGGCACGGCGACTCAGAGCCCGGGCGGTTCCAGTCAAGAGCGTGATGCAGACAGTTAGTTACTCTCGGGGCTGGCGCAGCTGCTGGGAGACACCCAGTCTGCGCGAAAGGCACTTCATGAACGGATCAAGGCCAGGTGGCGGGCTGGTCGCATCAAGCGGCTCCGACAACGCTGCAGCTCTGTGGGCAAATAAAAAACAAGCAATGGCATGAACTTGCCAAAAACTCGGAGGTCCGCGCGGACTTCTGGGATCCGCGCTGGACCCACTTCCCTGGCGAGCGGAGCGCGCCGGGGGCGGCGCTGGAGGCGCCGCCGGGGGCTCTCCGGCGCGGATCCGAGAAATCCGCGCGGACCTCCGAGTCTTCGCTCCCCGATGGTCGCATCAAGCGGCTCCGGCGCGCTGCAGCCCTTTGTCGTGAAGCCCAATCGCTGTGAAGGAGGAGGAGAAGGAGGAGGAGGAGGAGAAGGAGGGGGAGGAGGAGGAGGAGGAGGGGGAGGAGGAGGAGCAGGAGGAGGAGGAGGAGGTGGAGGAGGAGGAGGAAGAGGGCTACTAGCAGCTGCCCACAGGTCACCTACGGGCACCGGGTATAGATGGGCTGTCCCCTTCGGTCGTGCTCGCCCCCGGGAGGCGGGAGTGGCTGCGAAGCTCACGGAGGGCGCCGCCGCGCAAACGCCCTGGCGGCGTCCTTCGGCTTCGAGGATCCGGAGAGACAGTTGAGACGCCATCTGGTCAAGGAAAAGGCCTCGGTAAAAAAACACCAGAGAAAAAACCCAATCAGTGGATGGTTTGCAATGGGAACGGTAAAGAGGTCGACAAGAAGATCGATCGACCGGGAATCCGGGAACCCGGAACCCACCGAAATCGGCCCGGAACCAATAACCAGGAACCTGGGAGCCCGGAACCGGGAACGCGGGAACCCAGCAGGCTACCAAAATCGGCGGGAAACCGTCGCCAAATCTTTCAATATCCGCTAGGACCCCTTCAGTGCAAGCACTGATTGGGAAAATAGCGAACACTCATGCCACATTCATCTGATAACGCCTCCCCCTCCCCCCAATGTTCAAAGTTGGCGGTGGGTCTGACGAGTTGCGCCTCGACCGCAGTCTCCCCCGCGCGTGCCAACTTTGAGTTTGGGTGGGAGAGGGGGAGTGCTCAAAAATTGTTTC